GAAAAAAAAAAAACTTTCAATCTGAATAATTGAAAAATGTCGTGGGTTCACGGCTCGATTTTCGCCTCGTTTATTTCCGTATCGGATTTCGAATCGAATTCTCTCCTATTTTCGTTCTCTCCCCCCTTCGTTCTTCTCACGCGGTATTATCGGGGGATCCATTGTCGCTCACATCCACGCCGGTTCACATTCGTTAAGAAATTACTTCTTCAACTGGGTCACACTTACAGCCAGGTGAACAATGAGCGCTCGTTAAGGTGTACACACACGCGCACACACGCATATACACACACAACTGGTATCGCGATATCGATCAAGAATGAATTTATTATAAACGAGAAACGAGAGTCGCGTCTGCAACCGATAAGATGGAGAGAGTCGAAAGTTTCTGCCCCGTTTGATTAAATAGCACCGTGATATTATTACGAAAGAAGTAATGTAATCTAGGAATGCTGATGTAACGCATGGGAAAACGTAGTTAAGTTGGCCCATTGCTCGCTCTTTTATTCCTCGGGAAATTAAGTTGTTCTGCCGGAATATCTTGAGCATCGTTTCCCTTTTTTCCATCTCTGATCTCGAAAGATTCTCGCGGTGAGATGAAATCCGAGAGAGATTTAATCGATCGATTGGCTCACTTTTTTAAGAAAATTAGTTTTATTCCGCGAGAGAGGAGGAATTGAAATTTCGTTCGAGAAAGAAAATTTTGCGTCAAATATTTATTCGATTCGACAAATTCGAGATTTGAAGCGATCATTTCGATATTCGTGTTACGATAACTTCCTTAAGTTAACAGCTTTAATCTTGTTGCACCTCGAAAGATGTTGAGAAACCTGATAAACAAATTGAAATAAAATTTTTATTCAAAAGTTAAAGAAATTTTATATATATATTTATATATATATATAAAAATATATATATAAATTTTATATATATATTTATCTGTATCTTGAAGATATTACAATTAAGAAGATAATTATAAAAGATGGACGTGTTTAAGCGCAATACTACGCACAAAATTTCAAACAATCGAGAAAACGAAACATTCCACGATGCTTACCTCTCGCCGTTCGTGTCGCAAATGCGCGATCGATACGCAAATGTTTTCGTATCTACGGATTAATCGAGCGTAAGAACCGTCCTCTATGGAAATACGTCGTACGGTTTGTGTATTAAACACAAACCGTATAAATTCTTAGAAATATAATAAGGACAAACGATTATAAACAGAGAGATTTACGCTTTTGCCAAGTTCGCGTCTTCGAAACAAGTTTTATATTTATACATTGTGTATTATCGTTCGAATTTAAATTCAAAAGGATCGATGAAAATTTTACGGTGAGTACCTTGCTTTCGCGGATCGAGAGAAAAATTATCGATTACTTTTCCTTCGAAAAAATTCTCTTCTCCGATCCTCTCTTTTTTCAACGTTTTTTTCACGAATAACGAATAATTTCGCGATTTCGACCACGTATTTTTCCACGTTCGCGTTGCGCAAATCCAGTGGGCAAATCATCGAAACATAATTTACCGAGTGAATCCCGGCGGAAAAAGGAGAATGTGAACGACACTCGTCAGACTGGTCAGAACGAGAGAGAGTAAATAAAAGCAAGCCCTGCATACCGAAGTACGCGTATACGAATATCTTCGTTTATAAACATGGCCACGCGCGCGTCTACAGGATGCTGCAAAAATTCGAAGCAACGACTTCCGGAATATATACACGGGATAACGTGGATTTGTTTCCTTCTTTGAATTAATTTTTTTCCTTTCCTTGTTGTTTATAGATTTTAAAATTAATAAGATTGTTTAATAAATTATCGATTATGTAGTTCTTAAATATTGTCAAAATTTATTCCTTATTCTCGTAGTATAAATTTTAAGGATGAATTATCGATATTCGAGTATTTTAATTCCTTCTCTTCGAACAACAAATTAATAATCTTGAATCCTTGTCAATTTCACGAGTATTTCTATTCTTTTTTTTTTTTTTAATCGTGATATTTCTGAAATTTCATAGAAACGAAAATACAAATTTTTCTTTTATAAAATTTTCTCTTTTCAAGTCTCAAAGGAAAGTTTAATTTTTTTTTTTTTTTT